CAAGGGAAGACTTGCAAAGAAGCAAATAGACAAGATGGTTGAAGACAGAGGAGCTCAAGGCATAGGACGACAAGATGAAGGAACTTGTCGAGGCAAAGAATGGACTTGAGAACTACTGCTACTCGATGAAAAACACACTCAACGAACAAATTGCAGCAAAGCTCTCACCATACGACGGGGCCGCAATTGGAGCAATTATCAAGGTACACTCGACTGGTGAGTTTTGAACACCACATTGTCATGTGTAGCAGCTGGAAGACTCTCAAAGGAGCAGATAGACACAATTGTTGCAGGCATAAAGAAGTTAAGTGTTTTATAACTCGTTTTTATTGAAAATTGTTCAAAATTTATTTCACACCAAGTTCAAAATTTTTTATTCATTTCCCGATTGTTTTAAAGAAATCAAAGAGACTAATAGCTACAAATCGGGTTTAAGATAAGAAAAACATAACTATGTTTACACTGATCGGACACTTTTTGTTCTGAATTGTCTTAATTAATGTTGGTGTTATTTCTTCATAAAAATGATTGTTTTATTTATATTATTGAAAATAACTAAAATAACTCATGATTTGATTTATTTTTGTATGGTTTTTCATAATAATAATAATATCAAAAATTATTCTAAAAAATCGCATAAGCCTTAAGGTTTCACATAAGGTTTAATGACCATACTGTACATTTGTGATTTTAATAAAATAATAAAAAATTCACTCCATTGAACATAAAGTTGAGTGATTATACTGTACATATAAAATCATGAAATAATATTTATATAATAATTAAGAAAAATAATTTAAATTTTAATTCAATAAATCATTATAATGTAAAGATATATTAATGTATTAAATATTAAATGATGAGAATCATGATGATAGATACAAATGTGGTACCAAACTTTCGACAAGTATTAAGTTCTGGACTTATTATATAAATATTATATGAATAAAAATGAACAAAATTTCATTTGATTTATAAAATGGTATAGGAAATCAACCCTACACAAGGGAGACACCACAAAATGTGAGTTGTCAAAAGTAGCTATCGATGCTCCTGATAAGCAAGATCTCCCACCGAAAATTGTCCCGGTGGCAAATAGAATCTGGTAAACCCTAAAGGCAATCTCCAAGGAAGAGTAAGTCGAGCTATGTCACCTCGCATCTTCGCCGTTCCAGCAAGTCTCAACTCCGTGTTTCCAAAGGCTTTGAAGGAAACACTCTGAACGTAAAGAGTCAGATTGTCTTATTATTCTATCTTCAAAACAGATTCTTGCCATTTTAAATGGCACAGGACAGCTATTTGATTTTGGTTTGGATAAAACCTGGTAATACCAGGGCAAAATGTGGGTTATAAATGATGACTCTTCGGTGACAAGTAGACTCTTTAAATGTTATAAGAGTAAAACATAATTGATTTCTTCTTTATTTGTAAAATGGTATATTATATTATATTATATTATATTATATTATATTATATTATATTATATTATATTATATTATATTATATTATATTATATTATATTATATTATATTATATTATATTATATTATATTATATTATATTATATTATATTATATTATATTATATTATATTATATTATATTATATTATATTATATTATATTATATTATATTATATTATATTATATTAATATCATTTCAAACTTTTAAATGAAGCGGTGAAAATAACGAAATATTCCAGTTTTCATAGTCTAAAAAAGCCCATTGGAAAACGTTGGAGAGCGGATA